GACTAGATATAATAAGTTTATTTTCCCTGTATGTATACTGAGATAACTTCTTGAACTTCTTAAATCAAGTTGTATTTAAATAATGTCATAATGTTTCTTTTCTTTTCTTTTAAAGGAATATATACATAGTCATATTAATACAAAGTACAATTGTATCTTATAAGATTTTTTCTAGGGCTGGGTATTGGCTGGAGATTTCGTATTGCGATATATTGCGATATTTTAAACTGTATTGTTATATGTATTGCAATATTTTCAATGTAATAAAATGGCATTTTCTTACTATGTTTATTATAATTTACATGCAGAATGTACATAATTAAGATAAGTTACCGACACGAAAAAAAATCTTGTTGATTTCATTTAAGCAATGCACTAAAATGTTCCCACAGAACAACTTCTGTCTTAATGTTTGGCTTAATAATAAACTTTCATAAGTCCATTTTTATTTTAATGACAAAATTCCTTGATCTAAGCATATTGCCAATATATCGATATTACAACATCGTATTGCGATACATTTTTTGTCATTGTATTGCAATATATTGAAATATCGATATTATTGCCCAGCCCTAATTTTTTCAGGGTTTAAGTATTGGAATGTTTGAATCATACGTTGTTGTTCAATAAAATTAATGTAGGTTCGTGCAGTCAGAATCAAACTGTCTGCAAGTATCTATCCACGAATAATATACTCTCAATATGTTTCAGGAAAGAGGGGCTAGGACTGTGACCTAAACAAACCTAAACAAAAATATGATTTGAAAGGTTATGGGTTTATGTAAAATTGTCTTGAACACTGGTTAATGTATATCAATCTTCGACTTTTATGTTGTTGTTTTTTATTTGAATAAAAACAAGTTATTTATAATCAACGGATCATAGAACAATACAGTACTATCTGAAAAGGGGGCATAAATATCTAAGTTGTGCAGAACAGTATGTTTGGCCTGCACAGTTATATAGTTTTGATTTTAATAAGAAAAGAAATGGTTTGAGAAACTTCTGCCGACCAGTCACATCCGCAGTGTGTTCCTGAGTCATGATCCGGTGAATGGACAAATCCGTGAAAATTTTAATGTTACAGCGCTAGCGGCTGCAACATTATTGAGGACAAACCAGTTGTGTACGATCGTTCGTGTACATGTACTAAGTAAGGTGCGTGATGGTTCGTGTAACGTGCTAGATCGTGCATATATCAGACTCAGTCATATGCTGTTTTAATTGTTTGTGATCGTGCATTAAGAAACGTGTTTTGGAAATCTTCATTGGAATGTTGTTTGTAAAGCACGCATTTCATTCTCTTTATTTATTAAATCAAAATAAAATAAATGGAGCGCAAAGTTAATAACAGAATGCAGAGCGGACTAATTATCGCTTGTTAATAAGCAGTATAGTAGGACGTGCAGTATTCTGTTCTCGTCTAATAGCGTGATTTTTTGTGATAAACAGTAATTAGATTTTTAACGACTTTTTCTTTGATGTTTAAAATATCAAAATATATATTTCTAGAAATAAAGAAATACATGTACATATCATTCTCGTGCTCAATTCAATTCAATTCCTTTATTCCTTGTATCAGCAGATACATCAGATTAATATAGTAGTTACATACAATATACATGTACTTATTTGCCATGTAAACATATATTACAATGTATTTACACAAGCATTAATAAATGTACATATCTATACATACTCATTATTATAATAAATTTATTTTACTTTCTCGTAAATGACAGGCTTCTCTTAAAAAATTCCCCAGACCTCTTAATTCCCCTACATTTTGAACACTTAGTAATTGTATTAATTTATATACAGTACTATTTTGATAATAATATTTCTTAATATATTCATTCCTTAAATTTTCATATGTTGGACATTGTAAAATTAGATGAAATTCATCCTCTATTTCATTTAGAGTACACAATATGCATTTTCTGTCATTTCTATTGGTATTTGTGTATCTACGCCTTTCAATTTATAAGTTGTGATCAGACATCCTAAACTTTGAAATTATTTCTCGATTTTTAGCACTTAAAGGTTTATTAAGGTAATATTGGAGGCAATGTGTATCTGTAAGATATTTGTACAAATTAGCTTTTGGCATTTTGTCGATTTCTGATCTTAATTCTTAGATGTAAATATCTTTCATTCTCTGATCAATAAGTTTAGTAACATATTTATCATCATAATTTGTATTCATCAAGGACTTTAGTCCTAATCTATCCAGTTCTGTTTTGATATTTACAATCCATTCATCATTTTCCTGTACCGTTTCTTCATAACATGTCTTAAGAATACAATTTTCTGCTTTTCTTAATGCTCAATACTTACGTAAATATTTAGTCAGTGAATGTATATGTGCAAATGATTGTGTATGGATTTTGTTTATCAGCGTTTATCTCTAGAACTCTCTTTCAATTATTTTTTATGATTTCTGCAATAAATGATTTGTTCAATAATTGTTGATTTTATAGAGTAACAGATATGAAATCAATTGAAACGTGGATATGAAACTGATTCTTATAACTTAATTCATTCCCTGACATTTTTTACAATCATTTCAAATAACGCGCACCAATACCAAATCAAACAAGAGGCTCATGGGCCTGAGCAATTTGGCTAGGAAAAAAAGCAGAAATCAGTTTATTATTGAAAACTTTAAACCCAAAAGTGGTCCCAACCAATCCTAAAAAGGGAGAGGGTATGATTTGAACAAACTTGAATCTATCCTTACGAATGATGTTTGCATATATCTTTGACTACCTGTGGCTTTATTGCCTTAAGACTTTACATTTGAACTTACATGTACATTGTGGCCCCACTCTACGGCCAGGGGCCATGCCTGGAACAAAATTGAATCTACACTACCCGAGAATTCTTTCATATGAATAGGACTAATCATGGCTTTTCTATTCTTGAAAAAAAAAAATTCTCAAGATTTTTTCTGCATGTTTCTATGTAAAACTTGTATTCAATGTTGAATGAATGTCCACTACCTGAGGATGCTTCATTAAAAATATGATCATTCATGCCTTTCCTATTTTTGAGAAGAATATTTTAAAAGAATTATCCTAGATATTTCTATGTAAAACTTTGATCGGCCATTGAAGCCCCGCCCTACACCCAGGGCTCATGATTTGAACAAACTTGAATCTACACTACGTGAAGATGGTTCCCTCTTAGTTTCAACTTTCCTGGCACAGTGGTTCTTGAGAAGATTTTTAAAAACATACCATCAAATTTTCATTATTTCTGAATTATCTCGCCTTGGATAAGGGCGTGGCCCTTCATTTGAACAAAATTGAATGCCCTTTACCTAAGGATACATTGTGCCAAGTTTGGTTTAAATTCGCCTGTGGTTCTTGAAAAGAAGTCGAAAATGTGAAAAGTTAACAACAACAACAATGACGGATAAGAGACAAATTTTGATCAGAAAAACTCACTTGAGCTTTCGGCTCAGGTGGGCTAAAAAGAGAAGAAGAAATCATACTCCGTCACGTTTTCATCACTTTGTCAATATCATAACCTGTACATATATAAATTATTCCCACAATATCAACGAGATATGTCTTCAAATAACTATTATTTCTGGTTGATGACCTTAAAGAAGTAAATATTTAAATGCATGTTAACTTCAAAGTCACATACATGTTTACACGTAAATAGATTTGAATTTTAATGACTTTTTATTCACTACTTCTGTAGGTGATGCTGTACTGTATGTGAAGTTATATATTTGAAAGAAGATGATTTACAAAATCTATAAAATAATATCATCAACAATGCCTCTTTGTGTCTTTTGCAGTTAAAATGATTTCAAATGTTATTTCTTTATATACTTTAACACTGAACCTTGATGTTTCTTGTTCATTACTCCTACATGTAATTGGCATCCGATCAAACCTCTGAAGTTATAGAAGTCTGTTTTTGCTCCAGCATTTATTTTGTTTAGTGGACGTTTGAGCGTAAATACTGTTCGTTATCTCCATAAATATTTCATTTACAACAATAAAATACATCATTCTAATTAGTTTAGTAAAATACGTATATGCTGAAGATAGGCAGATGTATAGGAATATCTTTTTTATTTTTACATCATATGTCTAAGTATGAAAATAAAAATATCACCAATGTACTAATTGGAAGAATCGATATTGATTGTATCATGTCTTTTGTCTAAGACTTGATTATAAATGTAATTATATTTTAATCATAGACAATGTATTCTATCATAAAGGCAGCTGGTTGACCTTCTCATGAGTTTGTATGAAATATATGGAAATATTGAACGAAATCTAAGTAACCCAGGAAGTCAATTTAACAATACAAATTTAGGAACATAGCAAACATGGGCCTTTAAAACATCAGAGTGTGATCATGTGCCATGGAGGAGTGAGGATCCCCTGTTAACCGGATATCCCCCCCTTCCTTGCCTTGATCGGGACAGGAAAAAAGTCCTAGTAAGTAAATGATGGTTTAAGAAATAGTATGAAAACATAAGTCAGCAATTGTATACATTTAATAATATTTGTAATAAACTATTAGTCAGTTAATTGTAACAAACAGCTTAAATAAAGATTGTCATTATAATTATTTCTCATACATACCGGTATAATATCATGTAAATTGAATAAATAATTATGATGAAATATATTCTGTTAGATGTTAAATAAATGTTAAGGGACTCCGACCCTCTGCCAGGAAGGACAACTCTTTAATTTATAATTTAATTAAAAAAGTCTTTAAATGAAGTTTGAAAATTAAATATTTTCATGCAACAATTTTCATTATATGCCTCTCAATGTGCTCCAAGATTCTTTGCAAAGCTCGATAAATCACTTCTAATTTCATATCATGTTAATAAACATTGGTATCTAAAAATGCTTTTTCAGGATAAAAATTACTACTTTTAATTAGGCCTTTCTGAGAAGATCAAAGAACCTTGAAGCACACTGAGAGGCATATAAATTGTAATAAAAATTGTTGCATGAAAAGATTTAATGTTCAAGCTTTATTTAAAGACGTTTTGAATTAAATTATAAATTAAAGAGTTGTCCTTCCTGGCTGAGGGTCGGAGTCCCTTAACACGAATTAACTATTGCAATATGACTTGTGAGTTCTCAAAAATAAATGTAATAATTACTGTATTTACAAAACAATGCGTGAGTTTCACGCACAGTTACCTTCATTACACAGCAGTTGCGATTACACAATACTCTGTCACAAATGTATCGTGTGCGTGATATTATCGACGAGATTGATTACACATAACAAATTAAATGCAATGTAAACGAAAGTCAAAGAAATTTGATCTGAAATAGCGTATCCATTTCTCAAATGCAATTTATAATATATATTACGTTGTATATCTAAATATTTCATTTTCCTTCTGCAATCCCCTTTCCAAGAATTGGTCCTCCTTTCTGCAGGTAAAGACATGGCCAAACTTGATATTTGTATTCCCCTCCAGTATTTTTATATGGTCTGTATTTTTCAGTATCAAATTCCCCGCTAGGGATGTCGACGTCGAGATAAACTGGTGGATCTTCGAAATACATGAACAAGCAAAATACTGCACATGTTCCAGCGTACACGGTAGTTGCTTTTCCAAATGTTTTTCCCGATTTTTTCTGACTTTGAAGAAATTTCTAACAAAAATATATTAATTTCTTTGATTATCAAAGTTAATTAATTCTTGCTTACTAATACTCAGTGGTCATGATTACGTGCAAGGAACACTGTATTTTTATCAGAAGCTTAACAGAACACAAGAAATGTGCTTTACAGTGTAATAATGATGTTAGAAATCCGGTATTGTGAATAAACATTAAGTAGATTTAAAATATGAATAGAGTCAAGTTTTATCATTTTAATCCATAATAATTATATCATCAAGATTTAATTACAACTATGGTGAAGCCACAACATCGAGGTGGCGGAAAGCAATTTAAAACTTATAATCGGCATTCAAGACCATTGAGAAATTTTGTGTTAAAACCTAATATATACTGAGATTTCTAGAATCTCATCCAAAGACTGGTTTCCACGTCCTGCAGTGGACTCAACCTACGAATTAAGGATCACCTAACGCTGTAATCACTGCGTCATGCAGTCGATTAGTTAAAGGCCGAGATAATAAGCACCACCTTCAGATTTACGATTAATAAATGTAAGTAAACATACCTCAACGGAGACGTGGGCAAGTGGTTCTTTGAAATTATTGTACATATTTTTTGCAGCGTCTTTAAACACGTGTACCATCTTTGGAGGTAACTTCTGAAAAGGTTCAATTAAAGACACGATTATCAACTTTTTTTCAAATAACTGAGCAGTGTTTTGAAAATGTTTGATTATTATAGTAGACATTCATATGCAGTGCATTCGTTATCTATATTTGTAAGTGAAACATTTTAAATAAGTGTTTATACTTGTATATGCCAATTTCAATGTTTAACAGATCTTTTCAAAACATAGGATTTATGAACACCTTGTGATATTCATCATGTCAGAAAAAATAATTATACATGTATTGCTAACATTTTTTTGACTTTATTCTGATATATTCTCAGCTCTTTTTGGTCAAACAAAAGGCTCTACTTTTTGTCATGAAACATATCATTTGATTGCTTTGAATCAAAGAAACCTTAACATTGTCAATGTTACTTTGAAACAAGTCAATGCATAACCTTTTAATATTACATAAAGGCCTCTGTGAGAAATGTGTTGCGAGAGCTTCTAACATTTCGTAAATTAAATTTTTTTGGAGAAATACATTTCCAGGTCAATTTATCTTTTTTTTTTCTAAATATTGACCTACATGTTATAATTATGAATAAAAACAAGTTCAATTTTCCTATTACAAGGTATTTGTGATGCAAAATTCTATCACTCCATATTCTTTTAAAGCCGTTGACTTTGTTCAAGTTTCAGACAGTCAAAGACATACAATAAGATATAAAATTAAGAGAAAGACAGTTTAGCAAATCGGCAATATTTCAGTTTCTCGCAAAAAATAACAGTTAAATAGATATAAAAGAAAACCTCTTCGTTTGGTAGAGGAGGAAGTTTGAATGCTGACATGATTTTCTGAATCTCAATAACATCCTTGCTCGCATACTCATTTGCATCCTGAAGACAAAATCAATTAATACCAATTAGATAAACATGTATATCATATTTATAAATACACTTATGGATTTCTTTAAATCTTATTCAAAGATGCATAAATTTGGTGTTAAGTCTTGAACATAACTGATGAAGACAAGATATCTTACTAAAATAAGCAAAATAATTTTCAATTCTTTTCTGGAATCTTTCATTTACTACCGGTATACAGAGGAATGCAAAACTTTTGCAATAACATGTACATGTATTAAGAGCAAACATGGACCTTTATTAATTATTATTAATTGAGGAAGACTAAGATGATATCTTTATTGTAGTAAGTATAACATATGACCATTTTTTTCTATAAGAATTTGAACAATCTTTTTCTACAATTGCATCCGCTGATCATATACTCATGAAGCTTATGGATTTTACACATCCACATCTAATGATGTTAAAAATAATAAGATAGCATAGTACCTGATAAGTATGATACGGAGTTACGTGTTCATGTAAGACATACTTTGCATTAAGTTATACTTAACAAGTAGATTTACTGTGAAGAGGAATGCAATGCTTTTGCCAAAGTACGTAAGACTCGGATAGTACCTTTATTGAAGAAAGAATGTACTTTACTTAAATTACACTTTATGGTAGTAATTCAGGAAAACTAAACCTTTTATTCAAAATTTGTCTTATTACATTGAGTAATATTACGAGTACCCCTTCATGGTAATACACTGTAAGTAACAGAAAGCTTGATATGGAGGTGAAATTTTTAAAAAAAAGGAACAGTATTCAAGCTCGAAAATCCATAAAACAATACAAAATAGAAGCAGAGCAAACATGGACCTCCAAAATATCAAAACTTAAGATCAGGTGTCAAGGAATCTTTAGATAATACCTTTATCATAGTATGGGATACTTAAATACTACCTTTATTATAGCCAGGAGAAAACTGATTCCATCCTCTTCACTCTTTCCTTCTTTATCAATTTGCTCCTTGAAAGCATTCTTCCAAAAGATGTCGTAAAGTTCAGAGAATTTTTTTGCAAATTTTGCAGTATTTTGCCCTTCACCTTGGTTTGTTCTGTTAGGATCAAACATGTAACAATATTGATTTCATTTATACATTCATATAGCTATATATATATATATATATATATATATATATATATATATATATATATATATATATATATATATATATATATATATATATATATATATATATATATATACTATAGAGCTCTTGATATACCTTTCTAACCTCATGTCCTTTGTACAAGTAGCTTTGAAAAACTTTTCTAGCTCCATGTCTTTGCTTTCTAGATCTTCTATAGTTTGTTGTATAATATACAGTTTGTACTTTGAAATTGATTTCCTTTCATTTAATAAGCTAATGCTTTGCAATCCAATACACGTATATCTAAGTTGTAATTTACGTTTTCAGTTGTGTCTTGCATTCCCAGGAACGTTCTTGTTCATTTTTCCCCAATTGAATCAAGTTGCTCTTGATAGTTCAAAATGAATTTTAAAAATCCTTTTCTATGGTTATAAAAAGTTTAATATCGGGTCATTTTTAGTCAGTCGGTTGAGAGAAGGTAAACACAAATAACCTTATGTTTGTCATCATACACATCATATACTGAGTAATGTAATGTAATAGTGTAATGTAATAATGCAATACATCATATAATGTTAACATGAGTATATTCCTACTTTTAACCCTCTGTCTTTACAGAAAAAGTGTACTTCCATGCAACAGCATATAGTCAGCTGTGCCCTATTTTATACATTTATTGACTGAGTTCGAGGGCAACATGCATTTTGCCCTCGAACTCAGTCAAAAAATGTTTTGTTATACCTTTGATTTTATTTTTTTTTTTTACACACATGTATTTTGTACTGTCTTTCGTGATGTAGCATCACTTTTGAACACCAACGAATGAAAATGAGATTAAGCTCCGCCCATTCTGTCACGTAAGCGGTCCAACATCTCATCGACCGGTCCAACATCTTACTTTGCGGTCCAACATCGATTTTTTTATGCCCGCTCAGCAAAACATTAGAAATGTTAGACTTTTTCCGTATAGATTTGTATAGGAACAAATTTGAAAGGTATAACAAAACCAATTCATGATAAAGACTACATATATACATGTTCTTTATCATAAGGTACAAGACCATTTATATGTATTATTCATTACAGATATATACGGAGCAGTTTTTATTTGTATTCGACCTTCTTTATACTTGCCTTTGAAGCTCATTATCTTTAAATTTTTGAAGCTCGGTTTTTAAAGACACATTCTCTTTAGAAAGTCTGAAATGTTGAAAAAAAAAAACAAGAATATGATATTGCACATGAACAATTTTAAATTACAAACATATGCTTGGATGAAACAAAATCATATAAATCGTATAGAAGCTTTTGACATGTATAAATTTTTCTACAGGATAATCATGTAAAATTTAGAAAATGTGAATTTTTAGAATGATGGGGCGAAACAGCGTGTAGAATTTTGCTCTAAATTACCTCTCAATCTGCTTCTTCAAATCTTCGATTTCAACACTACATCTAGAATTAAAATAAACAAATCGATTCAATTTAATTACGTTTGCCAATGTATGCTATACATGTATTTGTTATTCATACATTTTATTGATCAATAAAGAGGTGACAGACTACATTACTCCTCATAAAGTTCATAAAGTTAGGGCATCGTTATTTACTTCTCATCCACTCCATCCATTTGAATTCAGAATCTAAAAAATCTAACTCTTTTTG